CGTCTTTTCCGTCGATGAGGTCCGCCACCTTGCCTTTGCATGCTCCAATGGTTACCTCCAGTGTTATCATGTTAGTACTGGGATACAAGTAATGGAGGTTCCACTGAGCGATTCCGGCGCCGATCATCCTGAGACGCCCCCGCTTTATTTGCACAAGGCGGTCGTTTCCTTCGATAAGAGGTTCATGGCACTTCTATTTATAGATGTCCCCGCCAGAGTCGACGGCATCATGCTTGACAGCATCACCAATATTCGTGATGGTCTGCATATTGTCCTAACAGATGCCGCTACATACTCCGGGTCTTGGAAATTCGAAGAGCCCACTGACGAATATAAGATGCCTAAGTTCCTGAAGCGTCTTGGCATCCCCGGACTTCTCTTCAGGCTGTATCTCGTGGAGCTTCATTGCGACCAGCTGAGCGGCACCCGCATCTTCAGTTGTGCCCCTGGGCGGTCCTCGTATCTTGTTGACTCCCGAAAGACCTTCGCCCGGTGGAGAGTCGATGACCCCGACTTCCTAGCGTTCTCTCACGACGGCATCACGCTGCACTCGCCATTTGGAACAGTTTCACTCGAGAACGGTGCACTTAGCCCCAGAGTGCCTCAGGAGTTTGACAAGTCTGATCTGCGCAGCGTCAAGTTAACTGATGACTGCAGCTCGCTTGTTGCAGTCAAGAGCAGAAAACTTCTCCAGGTATTGAATGCCGCTGACGGCTCACTACGGGAGGAAATCGAGGTGCCGTTTTCCGGAATATTGAATATTCTCGGGGTTAGCTCTAGCGGCCGCTATGTCGCCATACTCAGCGCTCGAGATAATGGGACTGGCCGCGCGAACAATCGCGGCTCTCAGAAGAAGGCATGCGTGAGGTACATCTCTATCTATGACGGGAGAGAGAAGCGCTGGGTCGACATCCTGGTATTGGCCAGTCCCAGGTCCCAGAAGAAGTCACTAGCGTTCCAAGATGGGCCGTCTCCTTTCCGAGCCACGTTCGCCGTGGAGGGAGAGGAGAAAACGGAACCTAAGGTACTCATCTACGCCCCGCCAGGATGGAAATTGACCAGGAAAGTAAATGATACTCGCCAGCCAAGACGGATCCTGCCGTCGGAGGAAGCCATGGTCTACGTCTTTATAGGAGAGAAAGGAAGACCCGGTTTTGGAGAGAACCCGAAACTCGAATGCGCATTTGATTTGCCAACGAAACCATCTGTGTATGAATGCTCCCCCCTTCCTTTTCCCCGGGGGAGAATCTAGCTTCTTCCCTACTGTTTCATGCTGCCAGGAACGGTCAGTACTAACAATGCCCAGACAGGGGATACTGACGCAGTCTAGCAATTCCGGGCTCAAGATTATCTCCTTGAGCGACAACCTCTGTTCCGCCACGGTATGCTGTTCTGGAGAATTCAAAACAGTTAAAATCGATGATTTTTCGACATTCTCCGCAGGTATAATCAGACGCGCTACAGACGCATCAACAGTGGAGATCGGAGAGGGTAGCTCCATCTCGGCCCAGACCATCTTGAAGCTGGATCACGCCTCAGTCTATAGAATGCAATTGGAGCAGGCGCAGTCAGAGACCTCGGAAAATAGTGATCACGTCAACAGCAAACACCTGCTAGTGATCGAGGGATTGGGCCCGTACGATATGTGCCCATTCAAGGTAGAGGTCCATGGGATATCAGGATTAAATCCCTGCCAAGACTTGTCCGAAGGGCCTCTATTAGCCATGGCCGAGGATGGATGGGTCCTACTAGGATCCAGCGAGTTCTGGATACCCGTAGAGGAACCAGACGACTCTCCCATCGAGTCTGACAAGTCGGAGTACCTTACCAAACTGATTACAACATTTAAGCAGTCGTACCGGCCGTTTTATGACTCGACAATCGATCGCACAACTTCGCCAGGAACCAGCGAACCTGTCCCTCCGCCCACAAAGGCTCCCCGAGGAGTTGGGACACCATTGAACCTATCAACAGAGCTCCAGAGCTACGCGATTTTTGACAGCCAGCACGATCCCGTCGATGTGCACCACCACCACCACCACGACAAGACTCCTCCTCGTCCTTCTTCAAAGCCCCAGAGCCGAAAGCCAGCGCCGTTTATATTGTCCTCATTCTGTACCCCTCGCCCCTCGCTCTCATTTTGCCAGTTCTCGAGGAAATATAAAAGTGGGATAGTCACCAAAAAAGGTCGTGTGGAGCCAATTTCGCACGAGGTCTACCTCTGTTTATATGACGATGATCAAAGCCGGTTCCTCTGGATGGTACATACCACGACAGGAGGTTCAATCAAAGATAGCCTGTTCTCCGTGCCGCAGACAGCTTGGGCAATACACCCTTCCAAGCCGTTAATAGCATGGGCTCTCCCGGGTCACCCGGTTCGAATGTCGAATTTTGAGACCCATGGCTCCCCAGTCAACATATCAGGTCGGTATTATCCCCCAGGTTCAAAACCGGATCACTTTCGTTTGGCCCAACCCGCACGAAAGGAAGAATAGAGCCTTCTGAGCTAACTCAGTTCGGTCAAACACAGATCCGGTCACATTTGAAGTTCCACTTTCACAAGCCATGAGATTTTCCCCATGTGGGACCTACTTGCTGGTTCAGGGGAAATACTCAAGCTGCAATATCGCCTTCGCCGGGTCTGACGACGAAAAGACGCGAACAGTTTCAGTCTTCAATCTTCAGCTTGGGATCAAAGCCACGCTTGTGCTCGCTGATCCGACAACTTCTCTGTCAGTGTATATTGACAGCAGCGCTCTGATGGTATACGAAGTACCCAGGGATGGACTGGTTGGAGTGAGTGTCTACAAGTTGCCGTTCTTGACTGATCCGCAGAGGTACGATCTTACCTACCTCCCTGCGGACTGCTCGTGTCCAACGTGCCTGAAGCCTCTCCATTCCAACTGTTCGGTATCCGTTTTGGCTACTCGAGACAGTGACGATTCTCATGTAATTGTCCTGAGCCATGGGCACAATTTCTTTGCCAACGGTTACTTCACAGAGAACTCCTGCGAGCCTGTGATCCTAAAGGCACGAAAGAACCCTGTTCCAGTCGATGAGCCCACTATCGATCCCCTTCTACTGGACTATCAAATCTCCATGGGGCCATGGCTATTACACAGAAGTGGTGCACTCTGTGGCCATGTCTTCAGCCCAGCCTACCAAAGAAATGACTCCAAAGGACTTGGAATTTTCCGCGAGGCATGTCTCTCGAAGGATTTCGGAGACGCGGCCTCGTCTCAAGGTAGTATAGCGGAATATTCTACTACAAAATCGTGCCCCACGGAATCAGCAGCGGTGGAGCAGGAAGCTCGCGACTTACCCTTCCCAGTAGCGATTTTCCTAGCCCGGATAGTTCTCGGCCGGCACATGTCATCCAGGCAACCCCTTGTCGTTACCGACAACTACAAAGATCTAATGAGCGGCAGCTTAGTGGCGCCAGAGCAGCTGGAAGACTTTTTGAGAAACTACGAAGCTGATGCCGATAAGCGTTGCTGGGAGAACGTCACTCGGGAATTCTTCGAACGGTTATTCGAAGAGAAGGAAGGCGACCCGGAGCTTGAGGCCGCAATCCAGTTTCACAGCGTTGACGAGTTGATGGCTGCTTTGGAAGATTTTCGTCCTTACCTCGATGATCTAGAGTCCGATAATGGAGACAAAAGAACAGGTATCGGCGTCGCGGTTCCAATCCTGGTCAATTCGTTCTACTTTGACGGCAACTCGTCTGATCGGCCACCCAAGGGTCTGGTTGGGTGGACATCGGCTCATGACATAGCATGGATGGAACAGGACGTGGATCTCCTATTTGGCAACCTGATGCGGGGGGATTCGAACAGAAAGGTGTACCTGTTCCCGAGCATGAAGACGCTGAACAATAAGCTTGGCTTTACGTGGGAATTGGAAGACGCGTCTGACATGACGGACGCCGGCACCAAGTTGGTATTCAGGGAAGACGCCGCAGGCCCAACGGAGGACCAACAGCAGCTGGAAGTCGACAGAAAATGCCCCGTGAAGACTTTTCAGGAGCTGAGATGGCAACTCAACAAGACTCGGAGGAAACAAAGGGCTCAGAAGCAGATAGAAGGGGATGATTTGGGCGTCTTACTAGTGGCCGCCCTTACCCACGCCGCCAGCATATAGAGCTAGCGCTCGACAAGGCCGCTCTAGGATCAAGGTTAGAGCAGGCCATAGTCGTGGTCAAGCTTGACCGTGAGAACCGGCGATGACGGAGCCTCTGGAAATTGATATTTGTATTTTACAGTCTGAGTTTAGTTTCGTCGTTTCCTTACATGTAATGTATAATTCCAGCTTACTTTGCACCCACGATTGTAATCGTGTCGCTACCACCTAGTAGCTCAAGTCTCGGTGAGGAACTCTGGGACTGGTAAATGTGTATATATGTAGATGTAGGCGAGGCCATCGTCCCCAAAAAAACGTCTCGCTTGAGATGGGACTGAGGACAAAGCAGTAAAGACTACATGTATATCGCGAACGACGACGAATATGTGGATATGGGCAGTGCGATGGTAGCGAATTCGAGAGTTCAGTTTGCGTCTGTATTGCACATTCTGCCTGCGGTGTATTTATTATACATGGACATATGGATATTGGGAGGGTAAAAAAGCAGTGTCATTGTACTTGAGGGGTGGTGGCACAAGCAGAAAGCGGCCAAAGTAGTAACTAGAAATCCGGCATCCAGCTAGCAGCTGCGGCGCCAGTGCCGTCATCCGGACTGGATCCACATGGCCAGCACTCAAATAACTACTTGGGCAGGAAGGAGGCGGTGGAGGCTCTTTCTCCCTTAGAAACGTACCAGTCGGTCTCACTCAAATATCATACCTACGAAACTGGGCATATTAAAGCCACGGGTACGTGTCTCACGGAGTCATGATAACCAAAATATAGTAAAAAAAAAACCCCTTTTTGGGAAGAATATTGCCCTGCGTTGGGCTAAACGGCTCCTTGCAAGTTGGCAGTGGCGCGGACAAAAAAGAATTGGAAGGTCCAACCCGGATTCGAACCGAGGTTTCGGGAAGATTCTTGAATTATCAGAATCCCACGTCCTAACCACCTAGACTATTGGACCGTCTTGATGTGTTGACCTGTCCCGCGACATTCCCTATTCAGGAATGGCAACCGAGATTTGGGAATAATCCCGTCCAGCATCGGGGACCGTACTTTTGAAATGCGCCTCCAAATTGGAGTTCTCGGCAATGGACTGTGGATGCAATACGCACGAAATCTTTGAGAAAATAGAAGATTGATTTTTGTTCCGCATTCAGATTCAGTCGTGAGTCCATACCCATCACGGTGGAGTCCGGCTTTTATTAGTTCCGTGTCATATTTTACGAGGATGAGCTATGAGGCTTCTGTAAATGGAGATACGCAGCAGGAAACATCACCCACCGCTGGTGCAAGAAGAGTTGAAGAAGACGACGTGAATTATAGGCCAGGCCGGGCTTTCTACCCAAAACAGCTGACCACAGACGAAGAATGTACAAAAGAAACAAAAAGGTAGTCTTAACCTTGTCCTGAACCCCGCCAATCCCATCCCCATCCCATGCCGTCGCAGTACTTTCGCCCTTAAAAATTACGGCTGAGCTAGCATATGAGAGCAAGGTTTGCCCCAGCAAGTATCTATTAAATCACGGCCGGAGGAAACAGACGACCAGAAGACCAGGCGCGGCACACCCTGCGCTTTAGTCCTCCTTGCCCTCCTCGACCCTGCGATACTGCGCAATGCTCGCGCCCCGCTCGTGCCTCGGCACGAAGGACCCGATCACGGCGTCCTTGCTCGCCTTGGCGATCTGGTCGTTGAAGCCCTCCGTCGCGTAGGGTCTCGGCGCAAGCTTGGGCCAGTTAACCTGAGAGGCAGAATATTAGCAGCTGATGCATGTTTTCCGGGGCAGAGGTGGGCGAAAGGGTTGGGGGGAGTCAGTCAGGCGGGTACGACATGGACAATCACTTACGTAGAGCATCCCGTGGGTAGACACGAAGTGGAAACACCACACCGCGACGAGTAGGAACAGAATGACCACGATCCGTCTAGGCATCGCGTACGTCGTCGGGTCCGCCGGCGCGAACATCGCGAAGAGCACAAAGAACAGGCTGAACGCCAGCATATACGGCACCGCCTGTATCAGCAGCGGCCTCCTGTCCGCGAACACCGAGCCCGGCCCCATGGGCGCCCTGCCGGGGAGGTACGCCCCCGTCAGCAGGTCGTACGAGTCCTGCCTGGGCCCATCGAGGAAGTTGTTCTTAAAGTACCGCGTCACGCCAACCTTGCCGTCGTTCAGCATCCCGACCTTGGTGCGGGTCCCCATCCTCGTCATGTCGGTCTTCATGGCCCCCGTGCCGGAGTACGACGACGAGATGACATCGGCGTTGTCGGCCCAGATGTTCCTGAACAGGAACTCAAACGCCGGGTCCTCGTCGCGGAAGGTGGCGTTGGGCGACATGAGCCCCAGCTCCGCGAACATCCGGTCGAGCGTGTGGCGGGCGAACATGCTCTGCACGACGTTCGTCCGGTCGAGGCAGTCCATGCAGTTGGAGCGCATGACGCTGGTCTGCAGGCTCCGCGCCTCGAGGCGGCCGTCCTGGCTGGCGGGCATGTCGACGCCGCGGAAGTACCCCTGTTCCTGCAGGGGCACCGCCAGCCTCTCGATGAGCCTGTAGGCGCGGTCGAGGCGCATGCCCTTGGTCTCGCTGTGGAAGTCGAAGTAGACGTAGTGCGCCCTGTCGAACTCGCTCTGCGTCTTCCCCGGCTGGATGATGTGGAACTTCTCCGAGGTGAGCTGGTTCGCCTCGACCTGGCTCTTCGGGGAGCTCACGAGCATCTCTACCATCCTCTCGTACGACTGCTTGACGGCCTGCTCGCGGCCCTTCTGGTTCACGAGGTTGATGAGGTAGTTGTCGCCGTAGATCTTGATCTGCTCGTCGAGGTGCTTCTGGGCCGCCGGCAGCGCCGTCTCGATGCCCCGGACCTGGAGCTTGGGCGTGTACTTGAGCGTGTTGATCTCGGCCCAATACGTCGGGACGCTACCTCGCGTCTGCACGTACGACAGGACCTGCGTGTCCTGTCCGTCCGTCGCCGCCCTCGATGTCCTCCCGCCCTGCCCGTCGCCACCGGCGAACCCGCTGATGCCCTTGTTGCCGTTATCGTTCAGGATGAGGATCTGTTCGGTTTCATTGTAGTTGGCGGCGTTGCCCTGGGAGTCCAGGCCGCGCGTGAAAAAGCGGGTCCCGGCCCGGTATCGGGAGCGTCGGGATACCAGTATCAGGGTCAAGGGCGTGCCCTTGAACGTCGTCGGGCGGATCTCAAACATGCCGAAGATTACGGGGAGGATGAAGGGGTCGATTCCAGGGTTTGGACCGGGCTGGCCCCGCCCGCCCTGGGTGCGGTAGTCGATGAGGTCCGACTGCACGAAGCGGTTCCAGAAAAACCTATCGTCGGCGCGCATCCACAGCGGCTGCGTCGTGTCGGCCTGGGACTGGCGCTGGAAGGAGTTCGTGATGTCGATCGAGTACGAGAAGTAGGAGGTACCGTTCTTGAGCGAAGCCTGTAGCAGCGAAATGAAGCGGTCTTCGTCGGGGTCGCGGATCTGCTTCCGGCGCATCGGGAGGATCTGTGTGGCGAGGACCTTGTAGACCATGTGGCCCTTAAGCCTGCCGATGGGCTGGGACTTCGTGATGACGATGACATACTTGTCTGGAGGGGCTCGGTTAGCAAAGTGGCCATGAACGGGGCAGGGGAGGAGGAGCGGGTAGCTGTTGGGTCACACACCGAGTCTGAGCTGGATTATACCCAGGATTCCGTTTATGCTCATGACCTGGTACGGCCGCGACCCCATGCCTGCTGCGCCATGGTCGAGGTGGATATCGCCGGTCGGCCGGTCGATAACGAGCGCAGGTGCGTCGGGGGAGGAAGGAGAGGTAAAGGTGTAGGTGCTATCCGCGACCTGGACGTTTATGTCGCGGTAGGGAAACAGCGGCCCCTTAAGGATCGACATCTTAAAGAAAGAGGCGGAATGGAGGGGGGAGAGCGAACTACCGGCGGCGGGCACAATCACCCATAAACGAAGGATCCCTGACCTATTAATCGTTGTCCGGTTTGGAGTTGAGCTTTTGGCGCGGATTTCCGAACACCACACGTAATGTACAGCTACTTGTTCCTAACCTGGAACTTCACATGCCTAGCAAGAAAATGGGGTTAGTCAGGACGAGTACTAGATACTGACTAAGCTAGATAAGTGGCGAAGCGTGTTTACACCTGGTATGAAGGAGGTTTAGCACATTGGCACCACTCCGGTTAAGGTGGACTGTTAATAATCAATAAACATCGTCCTCCCCCCTCTAAGCCTCGTGACGTCCTCTCAGGTCATTCAACCAAACGACGGGGTCCCATCAAGGCCGTAATCTCCATCATTCGTCATCCCCGAAGCCCACACCGAAACAGACAACCAAACCTTACCCCAACAACCCACCTCTCATCAGCTACAGCCCTCGAAAACCGCCGACGATAATCAGAAGAAATCTCCGGCTCCGGTCTCTCCTTCGCCCATCACCACAAGTTCCGGCTGCCTAGAGCCTTAGACACCATTATGAGCACCAGGGGACCACCTAACGCGCGAGGGATGAACACCCGCTTCGCGCAGTTCAAGCTTGTGCTACTAGGTTCGTCTCCTCGCCTCCTCCCTCCCCGTTGGCTCGACCCTTAGCCTGTCGTTATCAATACTGACCCTGGGCGTAGGCGAATCCGCCGTCGGAAAGGTAACCCGCATCGTTCTCAACCCCATATACTCCCGTTCAAGACTTCTGACAATGAACCCAGAGTTCAATAGTTCTGCGATTCGTCAAGGTAAGTCGAGCTCGATCTACGATGATAGGCGGCTGTTAACCCCCCTGGTCAGGATCAATTCGACTCGTTCAGGGAATCCACCATCGGCGCCGCCTTCCTAACCCAGACCATCTCCCTCGACGAGAACACCACGGTGAAGTTCGAGATATGGGACACCGCCGGCCAGGAGCGGTACAAGTCGCTAGCACCCATGTACTACAGAAACGCCAACTGCGCCGTCGTCGTCTACGACATCACACAAGCCGTGCGTTCCTTCCGACCATTCCTCCCGTCCCTCCCGTCCCTCCCGTCGCCCCTCCCCCAGCCACCATCTCCAAGTACTAACGAAAATAAACTGTACAGGCGTCCCTGGATAAAGCCAAGTCATGGGTAAAGGAGCTCCAGCGCCAAGCAAACGAAAACATCATCATCGCGCTGGCTGGCAACAAGCTCGACCTCGTGACGGAACAACCGGACAAGCGCGCCGTCCCGACGGCCGACGCCGAGGCGTACGCCCGCGAGGCCGGGCTCCTCTTCTTCGAGACGTCGGCGAAGACGGCCGAGAACGTGCGGGAGCTCTTCACTGCGATAGCGACGAGGCTGCCGCTCGACCAGGCCGGGCCAAGGCACGCGAGGGGGGCGGGGCCGGGCGGCAGGGCGGGAGTGAGCCTCGCCCCCGAGGGCGCGAATACCAACGTTGGCGGGCCTTGCGCCTGCTAAATGTGAGCTTTCGAGGATGGAATTTGCTACTGCTCCTCCGAGCGAGGGGTATGACTGTATAGACGAGACAGCGGGTTGGACTCGAGCACGGTGCTCGATTTCTAGGATACCCGGCTGTCCGAGCGAGTTGCGGGCCGTGGAGGAGTTCAAGGGCCGTCCGCGTCAGGGGGCGGATGGATATTTTTGCCACGTTCTTCCACCTCCGGCAGACCCGTGGAACTTAATACAAGGGGAACATCATCGAGGCCAACAGAGGGGGAACTTTTTCTTCTGCGTCCGTTTTTCGTTTTTTTTCTCTCATTTTTTTTTTCATCTCTCCTACCTTCGTTCTACTCGGGGTACCATTTTTTTTACTTGCCACTTTCATCGGAAGGAGCAATATGAGCGGGGGCTGCAGAGGAGAGGAGCTTGACTTGTGGGCGTCGAGGGGGAGGAGGACACAGGGGAGAGGGGAAGGGATTAGGCAGCCGAAATGGCATATTTCGGGTCAACTGATGTTGTTTGCGTTTTTGTGATATACATACAGTATG